GTCAGTCAGTTAATGATTAGGGCAAAGCTACATGTTAAACAGTACTAGAGATAGCATGGTAGTGAAAAGCAGTGGCGTAGATAGGAAATTTTATAGGGGGGGGGGGTGCGAGAAATGCAGATTTTCCGACAAAAATTTATCAAGCATTTTCGTTTCTTCATGATTATTTTCCGACAAGATTAGCAATATTCCGACAAAATGGCAGTTTAGGGTTCTTTTCCGCTCCCCCCCCTTGACCCCCCTCTAACTACGCCACTTGTGAAAAGGGTAGAGAGAAGGGGAGCCGGTGGGGAGACTTTAAGATAAAAAGTTGTTAGAAGTTAGAGTTACGGGGGGAAGGGAGCGTTATGATAAAAGTATTGTGGCGGAAATGTCAAAACTGAGTTAACGATTAGGAATGAATAGACGGAACAAGGAGATGGAGAAAAGGAAAAAGAAAGGGGGAGATGGGATCGAATTTAAGGAAAAAAAGTCGTTAGAAGTCGAAGGAGTTACGGGGGGGTGGGAAGGGAGCGTTATGATAAAAGTATTGTGGCGAAAATGTTAAAACTGAGTTAACGATTAGGATAAATAAACAGAACAAGGGGATGGAGAAAAGGAAAAGGAAAAGAGGAGAGGAAAAGACCGTGCAAAATTAGTCGAGGCGAGGGCTGAGGATCGTGGTAAGAGTGATCCCTACACTAGGCCTCAGCACCCGTCTCCTAAGCCCCCCCCCAAACAAGCAAGGGACTGGGGAAGGGGATAATGTATTAATGTGAATGTAGTGGATTTATAATGTATATATATATATATGTATATATATATATATATATATATATATATATATATATATATATAATATATTTGAATTGAATATACAATGTGTCTATATATTTTCATAATGTATTTATTATGTAGTTATATATATATATATATATATATATAGATATATATATATATATATATATATATATATATATATATAACTACATAATAAATACATTATGAATATATATAGACACATTGTATATTCAATTCAAATATATTATATATATATATATATATATATATATATATATATATATATATATATATATATATAAATGTATCTATAATGTATTATAATGTACTATTATATATATATGTATATATATATATATATATATATATATATATATATATATTCACTTACATTTATATACATGTGTGTGTATGCGTATGTATATGTGTATGTGTATAAGTATGTATAAGTATACATATGTATTATATACATACATGTATACGCACGCACGCACGCACACACAAATGCATATATAACATTCACATATATACACACCTACATATACATATACACATACAATCATACATTTTCAAACACACATGTATATATGCATGTATATGTATGTATATATGTATATGTTTGAATATGTATAATATGTACAATATGTTTGCATATGTATAATATATTTACATCTATAATATATTTATATCTATAATATATATATTCACTTATATAAGGTGTTAATTAACTCGGAGACATGCCTACTCCGTCACTTATCAATAAATAATGAATTATATCTCAAGTTCGTCAAAGAGAGCAAACTTCAAAACAAACCGTGATCGCCCGACTTTCGAGCATCGATTTTCCAGCGAATTTTGGAAAGCATTTGGGACCGAGGTTGTGTTCACTCCTACCTCGTTTCCAGCTGCTTTCATCTCATCTCATCAGCGGGTATCATTATTAATGCTGCGGTTCGACCAACCCTGCTGGTTTACATACTGCATAATTCCACGTTGAAGCGATCGACTTAGCGATTCAAGGCGGAATGGAGTGCACGTTTCTTCTCGAAGGCTTTCCGGCATCACTTTGATTAATATTCTGATAACGTTCGGTGCAGGATCTTATCATATATATCACAGGGTAAATTATTTTTTTAAATTGTTGCCGGCTCTGATCTTCATATATATATTATAGGGTTATTAATTTCTTAGCCGTATAAGCCTAACTGTTGCTAGGTCTTGGACATAATCTCTTCCACAGGAGGTTCTTTCGCGGATTCAAACCAAGTATTTCCCGACAAACACATTGAGGGAGAGGGAGAGGGGAGAGGGAGGGGGAGGCGGAGGGGGGGGGAGGAAGAATGTTGCCGTATTCGGACATAATTCGTTATTTATGCTTTTCATGTAGTGTGCTTCAGCAGGGCGTTCGTTGCCAAGTATTTTGAACATACGAATGATTTATTTATTTACTGATCTTTTTTACAGCATCAACATCTCAGGTCATTAGCAGTGTATTCAAAATGCAGCGATAAGGGTAGGAGCTTCGCCTACAAGCCCCAAGAATAGCCCAAGAATGATGAAGTATAGTGGTGAAAAGACCAAAATGAGTTAACGATTAGGGTAAGTGGACATAAGGGACGAAGAAGAGAAGGAAAAGGAAAGGGGGAGAAGAAAAGACCATGTTCAGTTGTTGAGGCGAGGACTTAGGTCTGATCTGACTCAGGGCTGATCCCCTTCGCTGGCCTGTGACTGTCTCTTAAGCCCCCCTCCCCCCCTATTCACGGCAACAACGAGCAAGGGATTGCGGGAGTGTAAACTTATTTGAGCATAATTATATTACATAAGAATACTTTAAACGAAGCCGCTCCATCCTGCAGGATTGCATAACATGAAAGTGATTGTTGATTCATTGATCGATTATCTGCCGCGTTAACAGCTAAGGCCATTAGTAGCCAGAACAAAAAATATCTTAATGATGTGCTTAAAACGTAACTACTCTTCAATCTCTGAAGACATTCCCTACACAAAGTATTGTATGATTAAAACATTTCTTTCTTTTACGTAACGTTATGCGCATTTCAGATTTCATTTCGTCTTCATTACTACGTTTTATTAAAGATCAACACTTCCAGTTTTAGCTAATTACGTGGATTTAACTGAATGTTTGCCAATCACTTTTATAGATGAAATACTTTTTACAAACTTTTTTATTCCATTTTCCCCTTTTTCAAATGTTAACCGATCCCTGCGTTTCTATACCGGACTAATGTTTAATAGTTAAAACAAATACATGGCCTAGACATCAAGGTCATATGGTAAAGTACATATCAGTAATCATAAACCGAAATGTGTATTGCCGAGTGTTATGAAGTCTAACAGTTCCAAATACACATGTTCAATCAAACGAAACCATTGCATTGTTCTATTGCACCGACTCTTCACGGGAAATAGCTGAACAGTACCATGGGCTGTTTGGAGTGTACATACAAAAGGTTCATTTAGGCTGAATGTTCGCTCATTTCGACTGAGAGGGTAAAAGAGAGAGAAGTAAACTACGTTACATTTTGTTTTAATACGTTTTTTTTTTCTTTTAGCTTTGTCGACATTAGAGGCAGAGAGGAAGTGAAAACGAGGGGAGGGAAGTGGGGTTGAGCGGAATGGAAAGAGAAATGGAGAAAGGTGGAAAGAGGTGGAGAGAGAGAGGAGAGAAGAGGTGGGGAAAAACGGCAGAGAGGTGGAAAGAGATAAAGAGATGGAAAAAGAGCAATGGAGAGGGATGAAAGTGATGAACAGAGGGATAGAAAGTGGTGAAGGAAGAGGGATAGGGGTCATATACTCTGGTGATACAACGTCACCCTTAAGTTCCTCATAAAATCTTGTTACATTAGCGGTTTCCTGTGAAGTAAGAATTTATTACTGATGGAAAGTCGAACCACTCTTCTAAGTTTATCGTAGTTACAAATGCCGATGTGAAAATTCTTCTACCATTTTACTACATTGAACCAGACTTAATATACTCATATTATCCAGTATTCTAGAAAAAAATGCTCACCGGTGGGTAGATAATGAAATAAATTAATTATAATATTTACCTGTATATCATCAAACATCAAATTTTCTCCAGTATACCAGAATTAAGAAAGTAGGACTAGAATTTTCATCAAGTTCAACATGACGATCCATTTTCTTAAAACTAAAAACACACACCCATAAAAAACCCATGGGAATATCAAACACAAAATTATGAAGTCTTATTTACTGAAATTACAATATCTGAATACAGCAAATTTCTAATTTTCCTTCAACTAATAATGCATTGTTGGTATGTCTTCCAAATCCACTTAATCTAGCTTCAATGTGATACATTTAAAAATAATTCTGATAAAAAAAAAACAGCTATTGAACTGCAAAACAGTACACGTGCATTCTCTAAATAGTGAAAGCAGTGCAATTCATGTAAATATATAATGTGTTTGCTGGATATTCATGTTAATAAGAATCTTGAGTTGAAATGTGAATTGAAATAATAATCTGAAAGAATTCCACTTTCTTCTTTTAGAGGAAAAGGAGAAAGGAAAATCGATTGTATGAAGGGAATAAAATCAAATCTGGAAAATGGTATTATCCACTGGGATTTACTAACAACTAATAACTCTTTATAAGTACGTGTTATATACTAATTGCATTGTGATGTTCTGAAAAAAATATAGATATGTACAGATGTCTGAACCGAAAGACACTGCACCTCGTAAGTTTCAGATACTTCAGCTGAAGAAAAAAAAAAATACCTGAAACTTTGGTGCAGATACTAAGGGTCACACACAAAAAAGTCTAAAATCGCTAAGAACTTCTTTTCTTTTAGACAAACGGGCCGGATTCCACTTCTTATAACTCCGCTTCATGGCCGTCTTGAAGGCAAAAACCACAGTGGCTGAAGTGCTCGAAGGAAAAAAAAAGAGATGGGGTCGAAGGTTGCAAGTGCAATGAAGGTGTAGAGTGATATAGTAGTAACTGGCAACATAGCACCTATGTTTTTCGTTTTGTCATTTCTTTATAGACCTTGGGAAATACTGTAAGATTCACCGGGGGATTACACAAGACGATATCAAGTAGAAGAAGAAAAAGAAGGAAACGTTAGCATCCCTACTACTATCAGTCGGAGAACCCAGCTGGAACCCATTCAATCGTCAGACACCCTCTCTCTCCCCCCTCCCTCCCTCCCTACCCCCACCCCCCCACCC